ATTGATGTTGTTGTCCTGCCATCTGTATCTTCACCACCACCCTCTGTCTCTTCTGATACCATTGATGTTGTTGTCCTGCCATCTGTATCTTCACCACCACCCTCTGTCTCTTCTGATAGCCTTGAAGTTGTTGTCCTGCCATCACCCGCTGATTTCTTGGTTCCTTCTTCTTCATCTGCTGGCTCATCCTGTGGATTTTCCAATGTTAAACTGTCCCTTGTGAAAACAAAAGGCAGACCTAGACAGGTACAGTCATTCACTAGACGGTACAGGAAAAGAAAAGCATGTCCCAAGGATTTTCATACTAGATCAGATGAGGTGAAGAAGCAGATGCTTCTATCTGGGTGTCTGTTGGATGCTACCGTTCTCCCACCTTTCTCTGTTTTAAATCTGAAGTCAACAGAAAACATTTTTTCTGTATGTGCCAATGCCAATATTTCTTTGTGTTCTATTCAGCCCTTATTTACTGAAGATGCATGGGAAAAACTTGAGGCCAGAATAGCAGAAAAGAAGGGCAAAGATTTATTTTTTTGCAATTCGTGCTTCATTATGGATGATAGCCAGTATAAAATGATAGAGTGTGAGGGTTGCCTCCAATGGTTTCATTACCATTGTCTTGGCTTGAGGACAGACTCAAAGCCAAAGAAATGGTATTGCGATGATTGCTGGCAGTGAATGCCTTCATTTTAACTCGTAATACCGGTTGTTTTAAAAAATGCAGGCCTGCACAAATTTTTCAGTAAAAAGTCTGTCATATTCAGGAGATACCAGTATATTGGTTGTTCTCAAGATATCTGCCAAATGATTATCACTCAAACATGAGCGTTTCTTATTAATGTGCCTTAATGAAAATGTCTGTTCACATATATAAATGTTTCAAAAATGTTTATATTACTTTCTGTGTACGGTATTGCAATAGTATAAATGAATATGCATGGAAGTGTTATTAAATTACAAAATTTTAGTTTTGCATGCCTGCTTTAATGTGTTCTCTGATGTTTATTGACGCTTTATAGTCTCATTGTAATCTGTATATTCTGCTGGTTTAAACTTTCATATGATGTATATGAGATATGGGTGTATGTTAATTTTTGTTTCAATGTTTTGCCTTTTTTTACATTGTTAATATTAATATTATTAAGTTTTGTTATTTCACCCATTAATGCTTTTTTTTTTCATGGAATTATGCGTTGACTTCGTTTCTAATTGTCCTTATTATATACGGATCACATACTTTCATGCATGTACTTTTTAAAATGTAAATAAACATTAACTAATTAAATTTGTTATATATATTGATTTTGATCTATTTTGGTTATGTTATATTCACTGCAGAAACTTGTGACTTATTATAATAAATAAGCCTCCCACAGCTAAGAACACAGACAAAAATGCACACATAAATATTCTGTTTGAACTACATATACTTATACTTAATACTTTAAGTTTAACTTAAGTTAACAAAAGACATTTTACACACCAGTATATTGGTTATGGAAATTGTTTGAAAAGTTTTGGAATACTGGAATTGAAATGATTAAAGAATAAGAACAGTGTCACTCAATTGAATCCAATAAGTGAATGTTATTAATATTAATGATCACATCAGATGCGGATAATAAACTAAATATTTTAATGTTACTAGGCCTTTAGACTGATAATATACTTTATTGAAGTATTTTTTAATTATTATTTTTGCCTATCTCCATTAGTTCAATGACTGATGGTAATAGTAATATTTAAAAAGGTGGTAAGACTAAGTAAGAGGGAGAGTCTAAAATCAGGTTAGGTAAAAAGGAAACGAAGTAAGAGCAAAACCAGAAGAAAAGGCCACAGCAATCAATGATGTTGGCAAGAAGCCTTCATTGAACAAATAGTAGTAGAATAACACAAAAATTAATACTGCAATTGCAATGTAGTATCAGAGAGGATAGCAATAGCAACATTTGAACTGTCACCAGAGGTCACACACTTGCACAAATAATTCTCTGTTTGGGCTATCCATATATAAATTTGGAGAATTTAATGAACATAAAGAGGAAATTATTAGTTATCTGTCACAATTTGAAGGCATATGTCAGTCTTACAATTATAGAGAAGAGACTTGGGCTAATATTTTATTGAGCAGATTATCAGGGAAAAGCCTAAGTATTATTAATTCACTCAGTGAAGAACAAAAGAATAATTATAACTATATAAAGAAAGTTTTGTTAAAGTTCTATGGAAACACAGAAGACATTTATAGAAAAAATTTTCACAACATAAGACTAGAGAGAGAAGTAGACCCTAACACCACCATATTCAATATTAGAGACAATCTTGTCAAATGGCTTGAATTAACTGAAATTGACCTAAATGATCCAAAAGCATTACTGGATATGTTTATCATAGACAAAATATTAAGAAATGCATCAGTCTCTTTATTTTCATTCCTTAAAGAGAGAAAGATTAAAAATGAGCGTGAGTTAGTTGACTCAATCACAACATTTAAAGATGCTCACCCCAATGAAGAGCTAGACAATAGAAACAGCACACTAGCCTCTATTAGAAACACACCCAGTGATAGGGACAGTCAAAAACAAAACACATATCAAAACAGAAGATACCACAGCCTACCTGCCAGATGGCAAAACAATAAATTTCAGAAAAGTCATCAAAACAATTACCAGACACCATATACTAATTATTCAAACAACAACAAATGTTTCTACTGTGGCATTCCAGGTCACAAAAAATATGAGTGTAGGAAATTACATAGAGATTTAGGACATTCACAACAATACTATCAGAGAACATCACCCAACAGTAGTCCAATTAGATACAACAGTGCAAATAGGAGTAGACAACCATATAAAAATCAAAGATATAATTCCAATCAGACTAACAGTAGACAAAACACCAAACCACATGAAACTTTAGCTAGCGCATGTCACAGTGAAGGAAGTTTACAATTTTTTCCTTCTTATGTAAACAACCAACTTGTTCAGTGTCTAAGAGACACAGGTTGTACAACAATAGTAGTTGACAAAAAATTGATTGATCCTAAAGACCATATATCTGAAAAAACCACAGTCATGTTAGCAAATAACACAAAAGTTGAATGTTATAAAGCAGTAGTGGACATAGACTGTCCATGGTTGACAGGAAAGGTAACGGCAGTACTTATGGACAACCCAGTATGTCAGTTAATAATTGGAAATATTAAAGAAATTCCAGATAATTCCCAAGAACTATTTTTAAATTGGATTGAATCAAAAAATTTAACCAAAGAGTATATAAGTGCAATAACAAGACAACAACATAAAACTAGTCAGACACAGCCTGAAATAGAAGAAAAATTAGACATTCCAAAACAAATATCTAGAGAGGACATAATTAGAATGCAGACAGAAGATAGGCAAATTCAGGACATTAGAAACAAAATTAAGGACAATAACACAATTTATAGAGGACATAATTACACAATAAAACACAATATTCTAATCAGAAATTTTGAGAAAGGTGAAATCAAAAAATCTCAAATAATAGTACCATTAATACTCAGAAACAAAATACTCAACCATGCACATGACAGTCCTTTGGCTGGACACATGGGTATAAAAAAAACATTAGAAAGGGTCACACAGAATTTTTATTGGCCAGGCATACACAAGGACATAAAGAAACACATAAACAAATGCATACCATGTCTGACAAAAAACCCAATACACAGTAAACACAGAGCACCCATACAACCCACAGACAAAATAGGTAGAAACTTTGAGAAGGTAGCTATAGATATCATTGGTCCTCTTAATCCACCATCAAATAAGGGACACAAATTTATTTTAACCATGATTGATATGGCATCTAGATGGCCAGAGGCAATTCCCCTCAAAAACATTAATTCAGAAACAATTTGCATGGCATTATTAGATGTATTTACAAGACATGGGTTCCCTGATAAAATATTGTCAGATAATGGAACACAGTTTACTTCCAACTTAACCAATGCAGTTACAAAAATGCTAGGTATAATACAAGTGCATTCCACAATATATAGACCACAGGCTAATGGTATGGTAGAACGATGGAACAAGACACTAAAAATAATGTTAAATAAAACAACAATAGACCACCCTAGAGAATGGCACCTATATATACCCATGGTTTTATTCGCCTATAGAGAGAGTATACAAGACACCACTGGGTACTCTCCATTTGAGCTAATGTTTGGGGCCAATCCAAAGGGACCGTTAACTCT